CGGATGAAAAACCATAGGTGACGTCCCCGCTGCTAGGCACTAGAGGGGGTAGGGTTTTCATCCATATTATATTTTTGCATACACATTAGCATCGGTTTGTAAAGATCTGGAAAATAGAGTGCAAAAGTCTCCAGTACCGTGCAATGCAGAGGGTGGGATTTCCATGAGAATCATGTTTACCTATACGTATGAATGTCACCCTACGGAGATCTGAAAGAATGGTGCGACGCATCCCCGCTATCGTGCACTACGAAGAGCAGGATTTCCATAGAAACCCTATTTATCTATACGTATACATATCAACTACAATATCAACTACAACAGATTAAAAAAAGTATACAGTACACCCCCACTACCGCGCACGACAAAGGGTAGGATTTTCATCGGAATCGTACTTATTTATACGTATATATATATATATATCAGAAGGATCTGAAAAAGGAATACAAAACACGCCCACTACCGTCCACGAAGAAGCGATGTGCAGCGGCCCTCAACCGATTTGCAGTCGGCGTCACAGGAGACGAAGTGGCCGTTACGGGGCTTATCAAAAACGTATTATTCCAGTAATATCTTTGAAATGCAAGTGTAAACATGCACATGCTATATACGAATATATAGATGTGCATGTATGTGTATACATAAGATCTATGTATACATACATACATATATGGGAAATGCGAAGAAGCAAGTACACGTGCAGCTCTTCTGCTCATCCTTGGTAGGAAGGAGCCCAACAAGGTTTAGGTATGGGCAAGCTACTACAGAAACTCTAAAAGATCGTGATTCAGCGCAAACTCGTCTCTGTTTCCTGCACTTGCGCGTGTCGCTTACAAAACATGGACGTGAGGAACAACACGACAGGGAGCCAAGGCATAGAGAAACACGCGGGCAAGCAGAGCAAGCGTAGAGTAGCAATCAGACAAGCAACCGTAGCATATAAAAGCAACCGGCCACGCAGCCAAAGCATGGAGAGACAACCGGACAAGCTGCTGTAGCCGTAGCATAGAGTTTACAATCAAACAAGCAGCTGTAGCATAGAAAAAACAACCGGACAAGCTGCCTCAGCATAGAGTGACAATCAGACAAGCAGCCACAGCCTAGGGCCGCTACGAGAAACAACCTAATAGTAAAAGCAGAGAGAAACACCCGGACAAGCAGCCGTAACGTAGAGTAACAACCACCCAAGCGGCCATTACATAGAAGACCAACCGGTCAAGCGGCCGAAGCCTAGAGAAGCAACCGGCCAAGCAGCCAGAGCATAGCGAGACAACCGGACAAGCAGCCATAGCACAGGGAATAAACCGGGACAGCAGCCGGAGCACAGAGAAACGACCGGACAAGCAGCCAAAGCATAAAGAAACAACCGGACAAGCAGAGACAACCGAACAAGCAGCCAAAGCATAGCGGAGCCACCGGGCAAACAGCGAAAGCATAGGGAAACAACCGGACAGGCAGCCACAGCGTGGAGAGACAGCCGGACACGCAGCCAAAGCGTAGCGAGAGAACCAGACAAACAGCCAAAGCGTAGAAAAACAAGCGGACAAGCAGCCGAAGCATAGAGAAACTACCGCAAAAACAACCAACGCATAGAGTTGGCGGAGCTTGAAGACGCAGAGTGCTTGTGCTTTCTGTCGTCGTGTAGTTTGCTCGTTCTTTTTCTTTGTTTTTTCTATACTGCTGCGCTCGATGGGCACATGCATTTTCGCGGCCGAAGACCACGTCAGCTGTTCTCGCTGATGGTCTGATAGTATTTATACAGAGTGACATCGAAGGAGTGGACAGGGCGAAGACTAATTAAAACATCTGCTTATTGCAGATGCCCTGAGTGTACAAATATCGCGGATGTATATATTGCGGAGGGCCTCAGGGTATACATATCGCGGATATATATATATATATATGTATATCGCAGACGACCTCAGTGTATACCTATTGCAGATACACTATATATTATACCTATTGCAGATACACTATATATATATATCGCAGATGGCCTGAGTGTACACATACACACAGTGAGGCTTACTGGGCAAGTAGCGGCCAATGCTAAGCAGGGAGTCTTCTTATCGCAGATGACCCGAGTGTATACATATACTCCGATTGTGAGACTAATCGGGTACATAATGGCCAAGGCTAACTAAGGCGTTCATTCCGCAGATGGCGTGAGTGCACACATATACAGAGCGAGACTGATGGGTGAGCAGGGCGAAGATCATCTAAGGCGTCTGCTCACCACATATGGCGTGACTGTATCCATATACAGTGCGAGACTGATGGGCTGAACAGCTGCCACAAGCGCCGAAGACGTCTGCTCAACCGATATGGGGTGAGTGTGTACGTACGTAGAGTAAGACTGATGGGGTGAACAAGGCGAAGGCTACCTCAGGCGTCTGCTCATCGCAGAGGGCGTGAGTGCACACGTGTGTAGACTGGAACTCCTAGGGTGAACGGGGCCAAGACTAACTAAGGCGTCTGCTCATTGCAGATGGTATGAGAGTATACATGAACAGAGTGAGGCTGACGGGGTGAACAGGATGAAGACCAGCTAAGGCGTCTGCTTCTGGCAGATGCTCTTTCTCATCGGCATCTGTGGTTCTGGGTAGTGGTGAGTGAGCGTAGTGTCCTGCTGTCAGACAGAGTACCTTATTCCTAATGCCAGCGTGCACAAACGGTGGTTGAACTGCACCAAAACCACCTGACTCTCCGTCTTCTTGACAGGAACGAGTACGCCGAAGAAGAGATCTTTCTTTGTGCCTATGTAGGTCGCTGTGACGTAACGCGCACCTCCTGCGCACGAGTATGCCTAGTTTGTGGGCTGCGTCAATGTAGTAGCGGATTACATCGCTAGGGAATGTGCTGATGCATATTCCGCGCACACCTGGCCTGCCAGCCGTCACGTTTCCAAAGCGCAGTACGCAAGTGAATTCTTCTACCAGGACGTCTTCCACACTCCATATATGACTGTGCGCCGTACAACGGGCCAAGCGTCCAGTGCAGTTATGAATCGCCGCCACTATACAGAAGAGCGGACTCACTTTCCAGTACGTTCCACAGATTCCATATGTGACGAGGCACTTTACCAGGAGCCGGGTGTCCGGTTCACTTGTCAACTGCGGCGGCTCTACGGGAAAAGCCGCGTTGTGTAGTAGTGCGTACACTCATTTTGATCCATGCACGACCATTCAAGCGTACAGGGTTCGAATTCTTGCTCGCGTGCTTTGGCAGCTATGCTAGTACTCTCGACAGCTGCTTCCGCCGTGCTGGGCGGTGCAGTGTTGTGTTTTAAGGAAGCCTAGAGCCCGTCGCTCTTATCTTCCTGTCGACACTTGTTCTCTGACGCACGTGTACGTTCGACTATGCACCTACAGACTGCGCAGGTGTACGTAGGCCTCCTAACGCACCTGAGACAGACTGTAGCGCGGCGAGCTCCGTGGTACTGCGGCGAGCTCCGTGATATCGCTGCGACGGGGACCATGCTCATGTTTAACGGCATGTCACTACTGTTCAGAACTAAGCCGACGGCTTCTTGAGGCGCCCGTAGAGTGATCCGCGCTGTGTTCACACGTACTTCGCAATTATACCTGCAGCGCACGGGCACACATCTACTATACTGTTCGGGCTGCTGGCGCTTCTGTTGTTGCTGTTGTCATCGGCAGGTACCCATGCGGTACCTTGGTAGCATATCATGACCGCGAACAACAGCCGCATCCAGAGCGGCGGAAGCCGTAAAGCTCCGTGTGTTCCACAATGCCGAGTGCGAAGCGCCGACGACGACTTCTACACGCTCAAGCGGCCGATGTTCCGCTCACGGTAGAGTCAGCGTTCATATGCCGAAGCGCGGCAAAGAGTCTAGAGGCACCGTCTGTCCCGCGTTTGTGCACCTTGGTGGGGCAATCCCCGGCGAAACGCAGAGCTCAGTGCCTCAGGGTGCGGAGAACGATTTCCACATACCCTGTCGCGCAAGCCTTACCTGGTATTTGACTCAACTCTAATATCCAGAACCTGGCAAGAGAACAGAGGCACTGTACGCCCTGCGCTGGGTTCCCTTCCTTGGAGCTTTCTGCGGGAGACCTGTAGCTCAGTGTCTCACGATGCAGACCTCGTAGGGGTAAGACTCTTCCGCATGCTTTGATGCGCGAGCGTTCAATTGTATTCAGCTCGATTTCTAAATGCTGAGACCCGCCAAAGAATGTAGAGGCACCGTTCTGCGCTCCGGTCGTTCACTGTGATGGAGCATTCCGCGGGCAAACGTGAAGCTCAGCGTCTCACAATGCAGAGTGCACAGCGCTGAGAGCCACTTCCACATAGTCAGACATGCGCCAAAGAATCTGAAGGCTTCGTCTACTCCGCATGAGTTCACGGGGTGCAGCATTTCGCGAGGAAACGTAAAGCTCAGTGTGTGTCACAATGCAGAGTGCGAAGGGCCGAGAACGCTTCTGTAAACTCAGCCGCACGGCCTTGTACGCACGTTTTTGACTTCTACGTGCAGAAGCGCGGCAAAATGTCTATAGGGGCCGTCTACGCTGCGTTTTTTCCACCGTGATGCGTTTCGCGAGACAACGTAGACCTCAGTGTGTCTCGCAACGCGGTGCGAAGCGCTGAGAGCCACTTTCACGTAGTCAGACGTCAGACGACGTCTCAAGGCGCCGTCTACGGTGCTGCGGAGTACGAGTGGTTGAGTACAGCTTCTACATACTCCGATACGCGAGCCTTCATTGAGTTCGACTTGAAGCCTACCTGTGGAAGCACGGCAAGGTGTCTGTATAGACCGCCTACTCTGCCTGCCGCCACGTCTGTCTAGAACCCCGCAAGGCAACGTACACCCCAGTGTGTCTCACAACGCAGGGTGCGAAGGGCTTAGAGCGGCTTCTACGTCTTTCGGCAGAAGCGCGCATTCTACCCCAGTTCAAACGGTTCTTATCTGCAGGAGCGCCGCAGAGAGCGTAGAAGCCCGTCCGACTGTGAATTTGTGCGTCTCGATAACGAACTTGCATTATTCCGGCGCGCGGCCACCCGCGCAGGCGGCGTTATGTGTATATTCACGTCTCTGCACTTCTCGGCTCGGTTTTGCAGAGAAGAATCCGCCAGTGTATGTTCCAACGCAGCCCGGTTGAGTATATCCTACCACGGTCTCGGACGTAGTTGCTCATATCCGTCTGCCTGTATAGAAAAAAATGCAGAGCCATGTGTTCTGTCATCTTATTGCTGCAAGAGCAGCCCCGAGCCTACTTCGTCGTACGTTCTCAAAGGTAACTACCTATTTCCGTGCGTCCCCGGAGATGCAAGATTATATGACCACGCCAGTCGAATGCTGCAAAGCAGCCCGCTTAAGTACTTCCTATGGTTTCGGGTACAACTGCGCACTCCTGCACGGAGAAAAGCAGGACGATGTGTTTACGTCATTTCGCTGCTGGAAGGGCAGCCCCGGTACCAGCCTCTGCGTACAATCTCGGGCGAGATTGCCCATTTCCTCGTGTCCCCAGGAATGCAAGACGATGTGTCCACCTAAGTTAAATGCCGCAGAGCAGCCCGACTGCCAGTCGCTACGTAGGGTTTTGGACAAGATTGCCACTAGATGGAAATTTGGCTCTCAGGCACAACGAATTCGCCTTTTCACCTTTGCAAGTGTGGGTGGACGTGTTCGGCTGAATGCTGCAGCGCAGCCTCGTCGGCAATCTCTGCACAATTCTGGACAAACCTGCCCGTTTCCGCGTGACAGTAAAAACGCAAGACGACGTGTCTGCGGCAGCCTAATGCTGCAAGACAGCCTCGCTACCAGTCAGTTCGTATTTTCACGATCTCAAACAGGATCCGCCGTGCGTCTGTAGAAACGGAAGACCGCGTGCCCACGTCGGTCTAAGGAGGTAAGAAAGCCCCGTTCCAGTCTCTTCGTAGGATTCCTGATGTAATTCCCCGCTCCGCCTGTTTGTAAAATTGCAGGAGGATGGGTCGACGCTCTCGGCCATGTTGCAGCTCCATCTGTACGAAGGACTGCTTCTCGTGTGCGTCCCTGACTGGCCCGTGCGCGCGCGATTTCAGGCGCGTGTGTCCTCAGGGGATCCCGAGGGGAAGGAAAAGCCCTAATGTGTGCAGTGGTAGGACCGCGGGGATTCGACTACAAACTTCACTTGCTTGTTGAAGCGACAAACACACAGAAGCATCCATTCAAGAGACAGCGTCAAACCTGCCGCTCCCACCGGCCGTGCGTTGTGCGGTCGCACATACGCCAGAAGACTTTTCATATTACGTTGTTATCCGCCGAACTATCAGTCTTGATCTACAGCTTCGACGTTAACAGACGCTGCCAGATTCTATTGCCGGCTGCTGCTGGAAACGCTTCCGTACCGTTGACTGCCGTGCGTAGTATTCCCCTCTTCAGCCCGTCTACGTTGGTAGCCGCCGGTGGCTCGTCCAGTGGCGGAACGGGCGGAAGAAAGAGCATGGCGGTCTCTTCGAAACTCGTGAGACACACCTAAAAAGAACACAATCTAGAGCAGCCCCGACTTCGGGCTTAAGCGAGTCCACAAAGGTGGGGAGCGCACGAGTAGCTCCAGTGAAGCACAACAGCAGCCAGCAGACTCCAAACACAAGAGGCCTGTACAGCAACAGGAGCGGTCTGTGCCTTGACGCTTCTTTTTGTAGAACCCTAAAAAGACGTGCAGTGCACACTGTAACACTTTTGGACGGTGTCGGTTTCATAGCGCCGCTTACTGATACAAGTGCGGAGGCAGCCACAAAAAAACGGCGAGTTGTTATACATCATACCTTGCAGGCCAGCGCCCTCCGGTGGCTCATGCCTGTGTAATGGACAGATGTTTCGTGGCGACGCAAGTACCCAAAACGCTGGCCGTGGCGTAGTCAGCAGCATAGGAGGCGAATCCCGGCGATGGCCGCAGTGTATGTGTCGCCGACATCCATGACCCGGTTTCACACTCTGGTATAGAAAGCGGCCAGAACCGGCTACATTTGCGGCTGTCTCCAAAGTCGACGTCTGCTGCACTACTGGTAGCCAGCCTGCTCCAATACGATCGCGTGGAAGCGGCGACAACCGGCTGCATCGTTGGCGCCTGTTGCCATACTTTGTGCAGCCAGCACTGTTGATACACGAGTCGGCCTTAACACTAGGGTGCGAGAACTGCCTCCAGCATTTGCCGCCGTCTTTATAGTCCACTTCCACGACACTAGCGAAGCAGCTACCCTTGTACACTCTTTACAGGCGTGGCCTCTCTAGCTGCGTGTAGGAAGCGGGGAACAGGCTACAACTTCTGCAGTTATTTCCCTTGTCCATGGGTCTCCAGCGACACCGGAGCGGGTCCCTGTTTATTTGCTGTCATCCTACGACTGCTGTATCTCTAGTCGTCAGCGCATAGACGCAAGGACAGAGCCCAACTGCTGCCGGCTTCTACTTGAGCGCTCCAATAAAGCGAGTCTTCTCGCTGCTGCTCCAAGTGGCACCTTCCAGTTTCCTTTGACTTCAACGCTGCCGAAACAGCTGCCTGTTTGTTTCGAGTCCTGTTACACATGCGGCCTTTCTGGTTGCTTGCGCACACAAATAGGCGCAGAGAGCGGCTACTGCCAACTTTTGCTTACGCGTTCCACATGAGAGACTACTCTCGCTGGTGGCGTAGCTCGCGCGTTCCAATTTTCTGCAATCACGAAACTGCCGCAGCAGGTACCGTTTTAGTCTTTTAGAACGCCTGGGACTTTCTAATTGCTTGCACACCGATATAAGAAGGCGTGGCTGCTTCCGGCTTCTACTCACATGTTCCGACCGAGCAGCTCCTCTCGCTGGCGCTGCGGCAGCGGGCGCGTCCCGGTCCAACGCGCGGCTACCACCGGCTTGCACTAACGCTTTCCAACCTAGCGGCTCCTGACTCTGCTGCAGCACCACTGCCTTCTCGAGCGCCTACAGAGTGTCTGCCTCATGAAGTACTGGGCTGTCTACTCCGCTGGCGATACCTCAGCCGTCAGGGTGGGACTGGCGTCTAGCTCCGCACCCGAAGACAATTGTACCGCTGCGCCTGTGGATCGCTGCGACTTGCTGCAGCCGACTGTCGCGCAGCCATTGCTGGACGGACACCGAGAACGACGCTGCTGCTAGTGTTATACGCCCCCTCAGGTGGCACTAACGACTAGCTCCGCAGCTCAGACTGTGCCGCTGCGCCAGCTGACAGCTGCTACTTGCTGCAGCCGACTGTCGAGCGTCCGCTGCTGGACGGTGGGCAACAACGACGCTGGTGCTACTACTCTATGCCCCCTCGTTTTCCTCGCTCCCGCACGGGGTTGCCTCCTCCTAAGGAGTTGCAACAAACACACCTGCTGCTGCGGACGGAGTCGGCTGTCCCAACAGCACCGCTGCTGCAGATCATCAGGTAGTTCCTGTTTAGCTGCGGCGGCGATAAGCAAACCCCTGCTAAAGCGAAAAATGCGTATCAAGTGACACCTGACCTGCAGATTCCCGAACAGTCCCTGTCAAGCTGCTCCGGAAACAAACCAAACCATGCAGAAGCAGCAAATGCTGATCAACTGACAGCATAAGCTACAGATTACCACATAGCCCCCGTCGAGCTGCTGTTCTCCGACGGAGTTGTCCCCAAAGCAGCAACTCCAACAGAAAAGGTGCCTGAGGGTATTTCACTGTTGCTGTTAGTGGCGTCGCGGCTTTACGCCCCTCCTGTGTTATGTGCTGCCGCCAGTGAACATCGAAACAAACCTATACAATACATATTGACGACCGCTACCGCAGTGACACGTGTCCCTGCTGCAGGCCCGGGCGAGGTGTTGGCTTTCTATATTATCCGGGTGGCACTGCTGGTGCTACAATAAGAAAAGGAACGTCCAGACATACGTAAGCGAGGTGCATGTGTCGAGCCTCACTGCTGTGACTTCGGTCCCTGCTGAGCACGCCGCCCAGGTTATGGCTGTCTTCATGTGTCCTCTGCTAGTTTGTCATGATGTGCCTCAGCAGACGTCCGTGTACGGCGAACGGGAGCAATGATTCTCGTCACTGCCCTCCCCCTTCGCCCAATTTCCTCGTCTCCTTTCCTGTAATAGATACAGAGATGCGCCCCTAGCACCCGCAAGCGGCACGCTTCCTCTACAGCGGTGAGAAGGCGCCTTGCCGCAGAAAAGTGCGCTGTGGAAGAAGACGCCGCCCGCCTCCGCCATCAACGCAGTGGCTGCGGCAGATACAAAGGTAACGCCACAAGACGGAAGGCGTAAGAGAAAGACCAAGAGAGCTTTATGTATTATCAAAAGCAGCCAGGGCGAAGCCATACGCGGAGCGACGATGTCGCCATCAGTAGCAGGGACTGGAGCAGCACTAAGATGGAATCATGATAATACTTCTACTAAAAGACCACGAAGTAGTTAGCAGGCCGCTGCGCTCGCTGCGTGGGAACAAGCCAACCCTCACTGCCATGCACCTCTGCAGAGGCAGGCGACGCAGCACGGCGGAGGGGGAACCGCAAGCCGCACGGATATTATAAGTGCATACTCTGCTGATAACTTGTGCAGCGCCTTGGACTGCAGTACGGCAGCAGCTGCTAACATACAGTGTTCAAAGTATACTGACGTACCAACGCAGCGTCACCCGACGCCTCTATATACGCAGGTGCCAGCAGTGCTGTATCTCCGCTAATTGCGAGGGGCTAGCAACAGATAGAATGCGGCGCTAGAGGAGGACCACACGTTTTAGTTCGGCCAGTCTCCCCCGAATCCCCGCTATCTTCGCAGATGTGAGCGGTGTTGTGCTTCCGGTTGTTGTGATGGGTTGGCTGCTGTAGTTAGTGTAGCGCTGGAGGGAGGACGGCAGCAGGGGAAGAGCACCCCAGCGGCGACAAAGCGCACGACAATGCAAGCTGCGCAGCGGGGGGAACACGCGTAAGAAAGTACGACACATAGCTTTCACATGTATACACATATGTATGTGCACGTATATGGACACTCGTCTATGCCTCTAAGGAAGATGCTTGCTCCTCCTGCGCACACACACATATATCTCCGCAGCAGCAGCAGCACAGTCAGCGACATCAAGGGCACCAGCACGTCAGCAGCATACAGCCTTGCTTTTCCCTACAGCCCAAGCTAAGAGCCTTATAAGCCTTTGCCTATACAGCCTGTGTATATTCATATAGGTATATATACATACGTACACCGGGTGGCTCGAACGCTCCACGCTGCCTTCGGAGCAGCAGAAGCAGCAGAGTTCAGCAGCAACGGCCGCGTGTTCGCACCTCGGGTGTACTAGCTTAGAAAAGAGAGGAGGCGACAGAGCGCCACGAAAGAAGGGCACCTGAAGCCGCAGGGGCCAAGGATGGCAACAGCAGGAGCGACATGCGGGACAAGGAAGCCCCGGCAGTAGAAGAGAGTGACAGCGTCAAAGGTGCTGTAAAGACGTCTGAGAGGGGGGGAGGAGAGGCAGCCCCACGGGCACGGCTTCCTCGGGGCCGACAAATCGTGTGTCGCCCTAGAAAAGCTGAAGACGAGGAAAAAAAGGAAGAGGAAGAGGAGCAGCAGCAGTGGCAACGCCAGCAGCAGCCACAGCAGCAGCAGCAGTAAGGGCAGCAGCAGCCACAGCAGCAGCAGCAGCAGCAGTAAGGGCAGCAGCAGCCACAGCAGCAACGGCAACAGCAGCCCGAGTAGCTGCAGCAGCAGCAGCAACGGCAGCAGCCACAGCAGCAGCAGCAACGGCAGCAGCCACAGCAGCAGCCATATTACTGGCGTGTGTGCCCGTGGTATGTCGACAGTGCAGCCACCCACCAGGCAGCACCCACCCCCCCGCCCCGGCCGAACTCTGAAGCGAACCAGCTAAAAAAAGCGAGAGGAGCTTACAGGATCCGCAAGAGAAAGAAGAGGAGGAGGAGGAAAAAGCGAAGAAGAGGAACAAGAGAAGGAGGAGGAGGGGAGGCCGGTGCAAAGAGAGGAGAGGAGGGGAAGAGGAGGACGAAGAGGAGGATGAGGAGGCAGAGGGAAGGCGCGCGGTGCTCTGTTGTTTTTGGCCACACGCCCGCCCAGCACTGCCTCTGGTCGTAGACGGCGCGCCGCCAAACTATTTGCGCGTCGAAACGTACAGAGTGGTTGTCGTACCAGTAGCAGCAGCAGTACAGCAGCACTAGTAAAGCAGTAGTAGTAATAGTTGTTCCAGTATACTTGTAGTAGTGTAATAGTAGTAGCAGGTGTAGTAGCGGTAGCGGACGCAGCGGCAGAAGTTGGCGGCAGAAGGAGGAGCCGCAGCAGGTGCAGCAGCACAGCAGCGCGTCGTCCCGTGTGAGAAGAGGGGGAGGACAAGGAAGAAGAGCATCTCAGCAGGGGAAAGAAGGGGGAGAGAAGAAATATGTCGATGCACAGATAGAAACGTAGAGACGACTGTAATTCTTCTGTGTCACGCGTGTAAACAAACGGTAATCTGTGCTTCCTTTGGCTTATTCTTCCTCCTCCTCGTCTTCTGTGTGTCCGGCTGCCCTCTCCGCGCGCGCGCGCACCCGCCCGAAGCGCAAGGGAAGGAAGAAGAAGAAAGAAGAACAAGCGAAACGGCGGTGTACAAACCCTGAAGAGGCGCGCCAGAGACCGGAGGGAAAACGAGGAGGAGGAGAGAAGGAGGCTGAAGCGGAATCGCGGCGGACGTGCACTGGACCGGCGCCGTACATCCTCCACCAGAAGCGGCACCCGCGCGAAACCGCACCGGGGGAAGTAGGAAGGAAGGGGGCGGACATGCCCGCGCCGTCCGTTGAGTAGGCGTCTGGAGAGAGGAGAAGGAAGAAGAGAAGACGCGAAGGAGCCAAGAGGTCGTCAAGCAGAGACCGGGAGACGTATATACAGCAGACCACGCGGGGGGGAAGTAGGAAGAAGAGGAGGCGGAGATACCCGCGCCGTCTGTTGGGACGCGTCTGGGGAGAGAAGAAGGAAGAAAGAACGCCAAGGAGCTAACAGGTCGTCGATGAGAGACTGGAAGACATATATATAGCAGCCGTAGGCGTCCGCCTTCTTTGTCATTCTCTTGCCATATAGCAGCCCTAGCCTCACACAGTCGACAGAGGAGAGAGTGGAGGATACACAGAGAAGACGCAGCACCACACAGCGCATGAGAGAGGGAGAAAGAGGAAGAGCAGGAAGAAGTAGAGCCGTAGTGCCGAAGGGGAAGGCGCGGGATACAAGAAGGCGACAATGAAGAAAGTATAGCAGTGTTCACGTTCTCCCACAGCGGCGCAGCGTCGTTTTCTTGCCTCCGTCGGGCCGCCCCTATCGGAAAGAGCAGAAAGGGGACGGACAACAAGAAGAGGAAAAGAATAGGTGGTGGTGCCTTTCCACGCCTTCTTCCGCAGCGCATATAATCCATCAAGGATCAAACAAAGCAAGGAAGGGGCGGAGAAGAAGAAGAGAAAAGGAGGAGGTCTCGCCTTTTCCCGCCTTCTTCCGCAGCGCATATAGTCATCGATCAAGGATCGGAAAAAAGCAGAAAGAACGGACAACAACAAGAAAAAAGGTGACGGTGGTGACTTTCCGCGCCTTCTTCCGCAGCGCGTATTATCATCCATCCAGTATCGGCGGCCTGTTGTCGCCGCGGCGTGCGGCGATCCTGCGGACGACGACGACGACATTGTGTATATATACACGTTATAGAAATATACATATACACATATATGAACTATCACATAGATATAGGTGGACTATATATACATATATACATACAGATAAGCGACTTCAAACACATATTGCGGGCGCATACCTCCGCCCCGGAGGACGACGAGTAGAAAAGTGGCCGTCTCTCCGCATTTCACATCGGCGCAGCTGTTATATTCTTTCCTTCGGGCCAGCTTCTATGCAAGAAGAGAAAGAGAAGACGCGAAAGCAACAGAACAGGTGGCGCCCCTTCCCGCATTCCGCAGTGTATGAAGATCAAGTAGTTCGGGCCTAGGCCTGTCGCCCGCGCGCGACGACGACGCTGACGGACCGATGGCGGTCCCCCTGAGAAACGGCAGGAGCCTTCGAGGGGGCAGACTTCTCACAGAGGATAAGAGTTGTCGGGCAGCTCAAGACGCAGTTATCCATGTAATAGTAGGATAATAGCGTCTCGAATTTGCTGTTTTCTTCTCCTTCTCCCGTCGTCCAGTTTTTTGGTCGACAGGCTGTCGTCGTCCAGTGCGGAGCGACGACGACTTCCTTCCGCCCGCGAATATCACCTCCTCCTCCTTCCGGCCGCGGACATAACCTCCTTCTTCTCTTCCTCTACCTTTTTCTCTTTTCTGTTTTCACAGCAGTTTTCGCTATTATTACGGTCGTTGCCGCTTTTCACCGGTGCCGCCTGCTATTTTTGCTACACCGTACCGGGGCGAGTGGAGGCTGCAGTTTACTCACCTCATACGCGGCCTGCTTGTCTTTGTTGCCAGACGTGGCGCTTTCTCCTCCTCTTCTTTTATTTTCTTTAACCGCTTACTTCTCTTCAGCGGCCGAGGAGGTTTTGCAGCCAGCGCAAGCACAATCGGACTCTCTTCAAGCTGTTCCTCCTCTCCAGCCGGCCCCCCGTCCCCCCGCGGCCCCCCCCAGCCTTCGAAATATCGCGGTGAGTGGACTGTGAAACTCTTGCTCTGAACACTCTGAACGCAAGCACGATAGAGTAACAAAACTTGTGTTGGTGTTTGATGCTGTCTATGCCGTTTTTCCCCCTCCTCACTTCTGTTGGGATACGTGAATTCTGTGGCCATCCCCCTTCCCCCCCCTGGACGCGGGCCTTGTCTCCCGCCTGCTGCTAGTGCTGCTGCAGCAGCTGCAGCAGAATCAGCTGTCCTGATGGCGAAGTGTCCTCCCTGCTACTGCTGCTGCAGCAATAGCAGTAGCCTCCTAGGCGTAGGAGGGAAGTTTGTCTTTTTTCTTCCAATCGTCGAGTCAGGCGCGCGGAGTCGCAGCGGTGCGCAGGTCGTGGTGAAGCTGATTCAGTAAATATGGGAGCTTCCACGACGGCAGTTCCCCGACAGAAAATAGTGCATTTTCGCACTTCATGTGCAGAGGTAGAACATTGTGTAGCTGTATAACCTTTACAAAATGGTGTAAGACGCCATAGAGCGCCCGGCGGCGTGTTTCCGGACGCACGGCGTTAGGGAAGAAACGTCAGTAAAAGTGCGTGTTGTGTATGTCTCCGTCTACAACTCACATACATTCCCCTCTTCCTTTTTTTTATAGAGCTTCCTCCATTGCAGCAGAGCGAAGACAGCCGTCGTTGGTTGTGGCCCATGGAAGCCACGCATAGGTCAGCGTACGGGTGGAGTATGTGGTCTGTATGTAAGTGGTTGCGTAGGTATGACGTGCCTATACTGTCCGAACGATGCTCACACTATATGTCTGTAGCAGTGGGAGTATATATATATATATATATATATATGCTGTGTCACGGCAGAACACCCATGGTGAGCATATACATGTAGAGAAGGCGTATACGTACACAGGCAGAGAGAAGCGTCTGCGAGCGCCTACCCATACGGCGGTCTCAGGCCACACCCCCGGTGCTGACTGTGTACACGCAGAGAAGGCTTATTGTGACTGCCGGCTGACGTCAACACGCACACGTACACGCGGTCGTGTATACGCGATCATCAGAATTGTTCATGTGTTTGCGACCTGAACAATGAAGTCGCCCCATTCCATGCATTATGAACATCAGAGTCACTTCTTCGTTTGCAACATGAATACTTCAACTATTTACATATCTGCACTATGAACATCAAAGCCATGTACTCCTATGCAGTGTGCTTACGCAGGTCATCTTACTGTTCGCAATACAAGCAGTGAAATCATCCGTTTATCTGCCGCATCAATAAATGTGTTCATTGGCTCGCAATATGAGCTTTAAAGGCCTGAAGACGTCATCAGTGTGAACACTGAAGTTCTCTCTTCGTCTGCGACGTGACAACGTAAGTCATCTCTTTCTTGGCGGTATGAATTGTGAAGTTTTATGTCTGTTTGGGATATGAACACCAAAGTCACATCTTCATCTGCAGCAGTGGAGTGTAACTATGGAAAATTGTTTTTGCGTCTGCAATATGAGCATCAGAAGCGTGAAGGCCTCTCCGATGCGAACATTGATATCGTCTTCTTTCTTTGCGGTATGAACACTCAGGATGCCATATCTTTGCTTGCGATATCAACAGCTAAGTCATGGTTCTGTCTGTGATATGAACACTTTTGCTGTTGCACTTGCAGGTGGCGGTGTGCAGGCAGAAAAGCAGAAGCTTGCTGGTGTTTTGTTGCTGTCCATCCAAGACTGAACTATTGCAAAGAGGCACAATTGCTTCTTTCTGAGCAGCAGGAATCTAAACACTTGCCGCAGCAGAATAAACAAGCGTGGGGGAGGGTCGCGGACGTGGCCTGCTGCTTCTCGCGACATATATGTATGTTCTCACTGTATTGTTTCGGGGCCACACGGTGGTGCACTTCCTGTTGCTACAACTTCCTTCCAACTCGATAAAGCTGCAGCGAAGCTGTTTATGCCTTAAGTTTTGCTGTGTATAGCAGCGGCAGCAGCAGCTGCGCTTCCGTCCTCCTCTTGTTCTTTTTCGCCGTCGTCCTCTAGTCCCTCTTTCGAGGCTCCATCTACTTCTGACGCTTGCTGGGTGTATAGAAGCAGCGACAGCTCCTGCGGCTCGTGCCTCTGCAATTCCTTCTCGCGTTCTGCGTCTTTACTTTTCAAGCTTGTGGATATATAGCAGCAGCAGCTGCTGCTGCTGCTGCGACCGTATCTTCCTCCTTCGTCTTCTTCTTCTTTTGCTTGTTCCACTTCGTCTTCTTCTTCACTGGCTTGTAGTGCACAGCAGCTCTGCGGTTATCTGCTTTCCTTTCGCGTAGCCGAGGTCGGCGGGTCGGCGGTTCGCGGCCTCGCATCTGGCGCTGCTGCTGCAGCTGCTACTGCCGCTGCTGCGAGGAAGTGGAAGCAGAAGAAGAACAACTAGTAGGAGCAGTGCAGTGCTTGTGCTGCTGTTTTTATTGGTCTTTGCATGAGGTAGAGATAGATAGAGGATGGAGATGCAGGCGCTAGCGGGGGCAGTAGACAGCAGCACGAGAGCAGGTGACTGCAACATGGAGGCTGTGGACGGGGGAGGCAAAGGCAGAGGAGGAGCAGCAGCAGCAGGTCATAATTCGTCTCTGGCTGTAGCTCTGCCTAGTGACTCGACGGATTCCTGCTCGCAAGGGTCTGGCAGTAGTAGTAGTGGCAGCACGTGTGTAGCAGAAGCAGCAGGAGAACAGACGGGAGGAGGACTTACTGGTACTAGCAGTGGTAGTAGCGATAAGGGGAGTAGTAATAGTAGTAGCTGCGGCTATTCAGCAGCGCTGTCAGGTGCTGCTGCTCGTGGTAGTTGTCCCGTGCAGCTGCAGCTGTGCTCGAACAGCAACAGCACAAACAGCAGCGGCAGCAGCAGCTGCAGCAGCACCCATTTGAAGAAGGAGGCACTGGAGCAATGTGATGCGCTTGTCATGGAAGGAGGCGCAGGAGGATGTGGGGCAGAAGGAGCAGCAGGAGCAGCAGCCGTAGGTGGAGAAGGTGTAGCGGATAACTGCAACAGCAACAACAGCAGCGGCCAGACAGAGGGAGGAAGCGTGGAAGGGAGAAGTGGTGACGGCGTATGTAATTCGAATATGACACCAAATGCTGTTGGTGCTGCAGCAGCAGGTGATGGAGGCTTGAACTGCAGTTCCGCTACGCCAACAAGAGGTGGCGACATACCGTCGGTTGCTGCTGCTGGGGCTGTCCCTGCTGCTTCCTCAGCTGCGGCAGCTGCTTGTCTTGTTGGCTCGCACACTGGTTCTGCAGCAGCGTGCATCAATGCAGGCGGGGGGGTAGGAGGAAGAAGCGAAGAAGCAGCAGGTGGTCTTCCTCAGTCTCCGGATAAAAACTCAGCTCTTGCTCCTGCGGCTGCTGCAGCTGGTGCTCCTGCTTCAGATCCCGCAGGCGCAGCAGGCACTTCAAGTGACAGACCTGCTGGAGCAGCCACAGGATCAGCAGAAGCAGGAGGAGCAGTAGGTAGTAGCAGCAAGTCACCTGCTGCAGCAGGCGGAGGACAGAGAAGCAGAAGCACCAGTGGAAATCAGCAGCACAGACCGCAGCGGGGACGTAAAGTTGAGGGGTCGCCTGGAGTTAGAGGAGTAGGGGGAGCGCGAACAGCTGCGCAACTGCAGCAGCAACAGCAGCAGCAGCAACAGCAGCAGCAACAGCAGCAGCAGCAACAGCAGCAGCAACAGCAGCAGCAGCAACAGCAGCAGCAGCAACATACAGTGGGCCACAGTGCTCCTCTTGTGGAAGTCAAGCTGTTTGTAGGGAGGGTCCCGCCTTCTTATGATGAAGAACGCGTACGAGACATATTTGCAGAATACGGAGAAGTTCGGGAGGTTGTTATCATTCGCGATAAACAAACAAATAAACATAAAAGCTCTGCATTTGTAAAGATGGGTCCGTCTTTCAGCTCTCTCTTTCTCTGTCTCTGTCTGTCTCTCTCTGTACTGTCTCTATTGCAAGAAAAGCTAGGCTACTACTGCCTTTTTCCATCGCACGTCTATGAACTACATGCTGCTGGAGATATGTGGTGTATGCACTTGTTTTTTGTTTCATGAGATTTATCTTTCGAATGCTCAATCTGTATGCTGCATGTTGCGGCGCTTTTCATCTGTCATCCTCTTTCTGTTGCTGCTGCCGGTGGTATTGCACACGATTCTACAACTGCTGCTGCTGCCTCCGCCAGTGGTAATGTAGCAGACTCTGCCGCTGCTGCTGCTGTTGCTGCTGCCAGTGGTGATGTACACGGTTGTGCCGTTGCTGCCGCTGCTGCTGCTGCCAGTTGTAACATACCGTTTGTATAGTGCTCTACTTTGGGGTCTGCAACACTTATTTGTATGTCCGGCTGCTTTTGTTTGCTTGCCTCATATTGTTTTTGAATCGTATCATGACACCAGCTACACGTTCTATTATTGTATGTGCTCCGTCTGTTGTGGTTGCTCGTTTGTCATGTGCGTGGGTATCGGTATGTCGTATGTCATATGTATCGGCGCTGATGCTGATGTGGCTGTTGGTGTTTGTTTATCTGTATTTTCTTCATAGGTTCACTAGAGTGGGCGGACTCGTCAATACGCGCCTTACATGGAAGTCGCGTACTAGATGCAGCACTGGGTCCTATGATGGTCCGATATGCAACCGGAGAGGCAGAGAGACTGGGCCTGCAGCAGCAGCATCTAGTGCAGCAGCAGCAGCCACGCGGCGGCGCCACCCAGCAGCAGCATCAGCAGCAGCAGCATAACAGACGTAACGTGGCACAGCAGCAGCAGCAACAACAACGGGGTGCTAACGCGGAGGGGGGAGGCGGCGGCAGTGCTGCAGCAGGTAATGCAGCAGCAGGAGCAGGAGCAGGAGGAGCAGCTGAAGGGGCGGCAGGAGGAAAAGATACGACGCAGCAAGATCAACAAGCGACCAGTGCACAAGAACCCGCACACTCAATGATAAAGCTATTTGTGGGCAGTATACCTAGACATATGCGAGAAGAGGAACTGCAGCAATTCTTCGAGGCCTACGGGGCAGTCCAAGAAGTTATTATAATAAGAGACGGTAGTAGTGGCACCAGCAGGGGATGCGCATTCATCAAATATAAATACAAAGAGGAAGCTTTACATGCAATTCGAAGTCTTCACGCACGTCATGTCTTCGAAGGATGTTCGCGACCCGTTGAAGTTCGTTTTGCTGAAACGCGGGCGCAACGGCATAATGCTGCTCATAATTACAGAGGAGGAGGTACGCCTGACCGATGCATATTTGGGGCCTGTCCATGATTGTATCTGAATTTGGAGCTGAAGAAATATATGCATGTATACAAATATGTGCATAAGTATACATCTCTGGGCGATAACGGGTATATATAGATACGTACGCATATATATATATATATATATATGTATATGTATATATTCGAACACGTAACTCAGGTGTGAGTGTACCTGCGTGTGTATCCAGAGGCATGTTTTAGAAAATATACATATGTATATAAACGTGTATATATATATGTATGTATATATATATATAGATAGATAGAGATAGAGAGAGTCAGGGGTACTTCTCGTGGAGAGCTTTGGTGTGTTTGAGCAGGTGTATGTAGGTATGGTGTGTTTTTCTGCATATATTGTATTTGTAAATAGTAACTGTCCGCCAGTATCCAGTATCAACACGCGTGGCGGATATGAGCTGCGGAGCGAAGGATGTCTTCCTGCTTTATATCTTACAACCTGCGTCGACAGGTGTAGTATGCTCAGCGACGGTTGTGCCCATGAATGCATGTGTACTCTTAAAATACGTGTGTGTGTTTGTGTGTGTGAGTATTTGTGGGTGTCTCAGCACTGTGGCTGTCTGTGGTCTTTCAGCACTCAAAGTAAGTACCTGCGATCATCTGGCGGTCGGGGCATGAAGAGACATTTCTGTCTTGGTCCGTCCTATCAGACGTGATACGCATATCTCTATCTGTCTATCTATATATATATATATACCACCTGTAGCGTATACTATGCATGTGGGCACCTATATATGTATATGTGTGTGTATTAGTTGTGGTGCTGGTGCTGCTGCTCAACTGCAGGAATGGAAGGAGGATGGGGGGGCGGAGGAATGTTGCGGGGTGGTGGCGCGCGTGTACAGCAGCAGCAGCAGCAGCAACATCATCACCATCATCATCTACATAATGCCGCTGCTCATGCTGCTGCTGCCGGAGCGGGAGGAGCAGGTGGTGGTGGTGGTGGGACATTAGCAGCTGCTGCTGCAGCAGTAGCAGCAGCAGCTGCTGCTGCCGCAGGCAGTAATACGCATCCTCGACAGGCAGGGCCATGGAAAGAGTATTTTACTCCTGATGGAAGACCGTATTATCATAATGAATTGGCGAATATTACCACCTGGGACCGTCCTCCCGAGTTTGATATGCTACCTCCTGCTTTAGCAACCATGCTAGTACCTGGTGCAGCAGGTTGCCCAGCAGCAGTTGGAGCTGGATGCCCCGCAGCAGCAGCAGCAGAGTATGGTGCTCCAGTTGGGACAGGGATGATAGGGGGAGGAGGAATATGCGGAAATAATGGAGGAGGAGGAGGAGGCGGAGGAAGAGGAGGAGGCCTAGTCGGAGGGAATAGTGCTGTAGTTGCTGCTCGTATGGGGGGAGGAATGATGCAGCAGCAGCAACAGCTTCATCATCACCACTTCAGAGGTGTTAGTGGTGGGGGTGGTAATAATGGTGGTGGTGGCGTTATGGGTGGTGGTGGTGTTGGTGAAAGAGGAGGAGCAGGTGGTGGTGGTGGTGTAGGTGAGACTGCAGGACCACCAGGAGCAAACGTCTTCGTCTTTCATATTCCAAATGAATGGGGAAGAGCAGATCTACTGCAAGCATTTGGCGATTTCGGCCGAGTCATCTCTTGTCATGTTGCTATGGATAAGACGAATAATAGAAACAGAGGTTTCGCTTTCGTCAGCTATGATAATATTCATTCAGCTGCGCATGCGGTCAATCGTATGGACGGGTGTATGGCAGGAGGCAAGAGATTGAACGTATCGATCAAAAAAGGAGAGGAACAATATGTGCAGCATCTGCTGCAAGGTTTCCATCGTGGGGGCGGGGGCGGAGGAGGCGCTGCTGCTGGTGGTGGTTCGAGTGTTTCTTCTGCAGCAGCTGCAGGAGCAGGAGGAGAGATGGGAGGACTTCATATGCAGCAACAGCCTCAGCAGCATAATCAACAGCGCAGCAGCGGCAGAGGTGCTGCTGGTGCCGCTGCAGAAAGAGGAGGAGGAGGAGGAGGGAAGGCGGGAGGTGGGGCCGGAGGAGTCACAGCGAACGGCAGCAACAGTGCTGCAGCAGCAGGCGGAGGAGGAGGAGCAGGAGGAAATGGTAGTCATGCTGTAGGTGGTTATATGCATGCAGGCGGTAGTAGTGCAGGAGGAGGGGTAGTAGGTGGGTATGCAACTCCATCGTCGGTGCATACGGCAGCGGTGGCAGCAAATGGAGGCAATGGTGTAGGAACGCCGCCTCATTTTAATGAACAGCAGCAGCATCTACATCACCACAGACATCCTATGCAGCAGCAGCAGCATGTCCACCATCATCATCATATGAGAGGAACAGCAGGAGGATCACCTTCAGCAGCTGCTGGCCATGCATTGGCAGGAGTACCTGCTGCAGCAGGAGGGGGGGCACCAACGGGGGGAGGACCAGCAGGAGTAGGAGCAGCACCAGGCGGGGCTCTAATGAGCCATCATTCTCATCCCCATCATAATATGGTGGCAGCTGCGGCAGCTGTAGCTGCGGCAGCAGCAGCTGCAGAACAGCAACATCAACAACACCGCGCTGCGCCTGGTGGTGGAGGGGCTACAAGACAGCTGCAGCACCAACTTGCTGCTTTAGGAGGAGGCGGAGGAGGAGGAATGTCTAGTACCGCTTCTCCACATGGAGGAGGAGGAAATGGGGGATACGTGAGCAGCAGTCATCAGCAGCAGCAATGGGGAAGTAGTTGTAATACCGCAGGATCTGTTGGTCCTGTCTATGCAGCCGAACCTCAGAATCCTGCCTATGCTGCGGCTGCTACAGCAGCCGGAGCTGCCCCGGGTCCGAGATATAATCCCTACTAAATAAGGAAGAACATCTCGTTCGTGTTGTTGAGCATCTATACACACAGAGAATAGGTGTCGAATAGAGGAGGAGCATGGACGAAAAGAACGACTTCCTGCCGGTGGTTTTTCTTCTTCTGCGTTGAAGAAGAGCCAGCAGCTCTCTTCGCCGCAGAAGTAGTCGCATCATTTGCGGTGTGGTCAAATGAAAACATCTCGCAGTGTACCACTTACAGAGTTATGGGAGCAAGAGAAAGTATGAGCCACAGACCGAACGAAGAAGCAGCAGCAGCAGCAGCAGCAAGCCTGACTGAAGTGAGGTTACACTAATTGTACAATACTGAGGCGGCACTACTGCTAGAGTAGGACATAGGACAGGGATTGCTGCTGCTACCAACAGCAAGTTCGCTGGTGGCACAGTCACAGCCGCGCTAGTGTATGAGGATGATAGAAGTGGAAAGAGGAATGTCGACGCGACCGCCTGCTGTTTTCGGGCGTGTAGCTCTGTCGTCGTAGAGGCGTATACTCCGAAGACTTACAGAACATGAGGAGCCGGGCACCCTATACAGCGGGTAGTACACGTTCATGTGTTTGGATGTACAAGGAAGAAGGCGGTAATGGACTGGCGTTAACCTCTGCGCGGCGCAGTCTGTGGATCATCTGCCGTGTCCATTGCACGGCTTTTGTATAGAGATGTATATACGTCAGTGTAGTGTCCAGCTCTCTGTGTGGAGGTAAAGCTGACATATCCGCATCTATGTGTGTATATATATATATATATGTATCGAGCTGCCTGTGATGGCATGCGTTTTGCAAGGTACAGCATCCCTGTTTTGCACGCATGCGGAGGCGGAGGAGGAGGATCAGTGTAAATGTATATACCATGCAGTTTGCCCAGGCACATGTTGACGTATTTAGGATACAGGTTCTTGCATATGTATGTAACGTATACTAAATGGATGTGTCGCGAGTCGCTGTATGTATGCATATGCGGGCGCTTGCGGCTTTGTAGCCCATTTGAGGTCCCCGTGGAGTGCTGATACTGGAACGAGTGACAGAGACATAAAGAAATTGTTTCTACTTGGACACACGCTCAATATACATGCTTATGTAATAAGCGATGCAGGAAGTACTGATTTACTACATGCATGTAAACGTACACTCGATATCATATCATACATATACTGGTTTGTTCATAGACCTTTGTTTACGCGTAGAGGCGGCTGCAAACATGCGTGCTCATGAAGAGTCTACAGAGAAGCAGAGAACGACTACATCCCCATACGTACCGGTGGACGCGTGTATAGCACACGAGGTCACATTCAGACATATGCTAGGAGTGAGGAACAGAAGCTGCATTCGTATACGCTGACGACGCGTGTGAGGTGGCTCGTGGTGGCAGGCTGCATGGGCGCCGAAGCCCGTGTATAAATGTATATATATATACATTTATATATATATATAAACATATATAGGCGTAGGGACGAATAGAGCAGCGCGGGGCCTCTGAACCTGTGTGGACGGGGTCAGGCCTTGTGTCTGCGCTTATACGTATCAGTAGTATATATTGTGCGTAAATAACGGACGCCCACGTCGTAAAGAGGGCACTAGCGGGACGCAGGGGTGGTACATGAAAAATGAAAGCGCGGGCGGCAGCAGCAGCAGCAGCAGCGTGTCATTTTGTTCAGGCAACAACATGGGAGAGAGACCGCCGCCGAAACGAACTCACGCGGAAAGTGAAGAAGTCTGTGTGCCTCTGTGCCTGTGAGCGTAGCCACTCGCGATTTTTTTTCCCCAGTTTCGTCTTCAATAAAAGCAGAGATAGTGCAGATCGTTGTAATTACGCGTGTCTTAGCAGTCCACATGTTCATCTCTGTTTACCGGGCGCGGCCCCTTCAGAGACTGACGCACGACGCACGTGTACGCACATGCTAGTCAGTGGAAGGTGAGTATGTGTTCAGTCCACTTGTCCGAAGGCCAGGTCCGTTAGGTTCATCAGAAGAAGAGGGGGAAGGCTAGACAGGCTTGTTTGGCGCCCGTACGCTTCTTAGAAGGCGTGGAGCAGCCCCAACAGCAGCGCTTGCCGTGGCACTCTACCTGAGCAGGTAAGGGGTCAGAGACAGCGCGACACGCACACACACGCGTATGCAGCCGTGACAACAGACGTCTGGCTGAAAGAATACTGACGAGAGAATGCTGCTGAACAGGCTAACCTGGTCTACAGGCAGGCAGAGCGATATGCCGGGGAACAGAAGAGGAACAAATGGTATTACAGAGGATTACCCCGTCTGCAAGCACTCTCAGTGGTAAACCACCCTTGCTTCAGCCGAGGCAAAGATGAGAAACAAATGTTGTTGAACACGGCTACACCGGCTGCAGGCGCACCGAGTGATATACCACTCTTGCGTCAGCCGGGTCAAAGAACAGAAACAAGGTCGCGGCGGCTCCGCTATGCGATGCGTGTACGCCACACTGCTGCAGGTTCGTGGCCGCTTCGGCGGTATGCCGTCTCCATACACTGCGTTGCTGCGAGTACGCAGCTGCCGTGCTTACCTATTAGCTCAGTATGCTTTGGCGCGTAGGTAGGCTGCGCAGCATGGTGCAGCAGGAGAGCAGCTGTTGTTGGTACGGACTCTGAATCAGGGCTACGAGTGCGAAAAATATACTAGGAAAAGAGATTGCAGAGTTGGCGCGGCAGTGCGAGAGGGACTGCTTGTGCGGCTCTAGGTCTAGTTCTTGTTATGAAGAGAGTCTTAACAGGGAGGTAGCGGTTTGGAGGGGAGTCAGCAAAGCTTCAAATGCACGTCCCCTTATACATATATACATATGTATATATACCTGCGCGCGGTTGAAGAGGCACGTATCCGTACACATATCGTGTGAGCGGTGCAGCTGCACTGGGCTTGGGGCTCCCGTCCGGTATTACCATTAGAGGTGTCTGTGAGACGAGGCACGAAAGCGACAGCGGACGCACCACTGCGGAGGTGCTGACATATGATCACTGCGTGACGCAGGGAGAAATTTATGGCGGCGGATGGCTCGGGTCTGGCTGCAAGCAGAGAGTCGCTGCTGGCTACTACTCGGAGGTTACGGTGCTAGCTGTTACGGAGTATCCGAGCCGCTATTGTTTCGCATGGTGCATGTATGCTCATACGCCATTGCAGAGAGTGGGCAGGGGCCACGAAGGAAGAGCCATATTCTGAGGGCGAGACCTAGTGAGCTGAAACGTAGGAACTTCCTCGTTTGTGCGACCTGGACTGCTTTTTCGCTGTGGTGCGCCCCCATGCATTCACGTGGGAGACATGTCCGCTAAAGGCAGATCACTTCTCCCGCTGAAGACTGCCGAAATCTCCGGCGCGCCGTCTG